GTCGACATAGCATTTTAATCCATACGAACGAAGATGTGAATCTATAAGGCATCCCTTTTGGGTGAACATAAACTAGAAGACCACTGTTACCATTGGGGCCAATGCAAAGTCTAATGGCAGGGTCAGTTTTAGGGATAATTACTGTTGAATAGGAATACGAGTCAGTCAAGGCTCACGGTGATTCATTCGTATTGCTGGGGTTTTTATCTGAGACTACAGTGAAGGCTACCTCGGGCCTATATTGAGACAGAAATGACTCTCATCGTTGCGGAAACAGTCTGTCAGAGTTTCTGCGTGAAGGGTTTCAAGAATTGAGAATGAACGCGGCTGCCGATATACATAGGCTGCCCTCTGCGAGCTTCAAAACCTAACGCTAAGCCGGGATCATACACCAGAAGCCTAAACCTAGGAGGATTGGCGGCGCTATCGCGGCACCTCGCGGTAGTTCTTGGGGGNNGCATATGTATATATCTACAAAAAAATATATTCCCGCACATGGGGACATCTTCTTCATGCGTGGAGCTAGAGCGTGGGAGTTTGGACCGTGTCAACTTCAATGCATGCGTCGTATCACAGGCAAGCACATGTGAGTCGTGTTCATGTTGTCGTGGCACAGCAACCCACTGTTTTGCTTTTCGACTTTCGGGTGTGTTTGTTGTTGATTCAGCAGCTCACTGCCGGAGTGGGGATAGACAATTTGGGTTTCCTGTCGCGGCGCAGCAGCTTAGGAACAGCGTTGAAGTTCGATAATATTATGAGGTTACTTATAGCCGGAACATCTTTCGAGTCCTTTAGTCCATGTAACTCACCGAACAACCAATTCCGCCACGAGCACTGCATGCAGTGTTTTCGACATGAGAAGTTTTATGCTCCAGGGTAATATTAATCAACATAAAGCTTATCAGAACATTATATTGGCGTCGAACGTACGTGTGTTTTGCTGCCACGCTTAGCCGTAAACGTTCCAAGCAAGAACATGGATGATTGATGTCGCACTGAGGCGGTTGTCCTTAGTTTTTTAAGCAATGAGAACCCATGTGACTGTCAGGAGCATGCAAGCGAAACACAAATCATCTGACCTAGTGGCTCTGTTGGAGAGGATTTCCACAAAAACCCGATGCACGGTCTCAAACTTCAGCCGTCATTTATATCTTGCCAGACATACGAGTACTGTCAAACAATTCAACCCAACACCCTGAACCGTATCGCAAAGCCAACGAAGATATCAACCCGAAGTGGTAACCAGGGCTACGTTTTCGATGCCAGAGACGCCCATACTGTAAACCCCCACAACAGCGGAGTCGTTTGAGAATTGTTTTTGACTTGTTTGTAAAGCTTTCTTGGTAGCATTGGCGCCAAGTAATGGAATCAACCCCATCAGTGGTCCGTTTCTGCGGTAGGACTCCCGCGAGAATCCTCGCGTTCCGCATCGGGGGCTTACGCATGGGCTTAGCCTCAGAGAATGGAATGCTGGTGATCTCGAGCCAAGAGCAATGAAGCCTCCTGGAAAGGTCGTCGCGTGGGCCACCACCAACATCTTTCATGGCCCCACGATGTTGGCGAACCGGCCTTACATGCAGCTCGAAAAGATTGATTTGCAGCCTTAAGCTCCAAGCCGCGAAGCCCTACGTGGAACCCTTAAACCCCCTGAAAGGAGCCCTAAGCCCTACCGTTCCTTATGGATTCCTGAAAGGATCCCTTAAAAGGATCCCTGAAAGGAGCCCCGAAAGGAGCCCTTAATGGAGCCACGGTTTAGGGTTTAAGGTTTAGGGTTTAGGGTGCGGGTTGATTGTAGACTCAGGGTTGTGCTGATTTCGTGCCCAGCAAAGCGCGAGGTTTGGCATGGGCAATGTACAGCTCCTCAACGAGGCCGGGTTTTCGTAATATAGGGGTTCCTTAAAGTTGCGAAAAGGCGATAAGGGTTTCTAGAAGGGTTTTCCGAGTATAGAGGCCTGAAAAGTTGGCAAAGGGTTTCGGGTGGTACATCATACTAGAAATATGTGGGGGCAAGAAGGGGGGCTGATTAGTGATTAGTACTTATTCAGCTTCTTTGGGGTTGGTTTGGGGTTCTGGGTTTTATCTGGATGTTAGACGCTCATGTTGGCATGTCAGCACCGAACTCGGATCTGTTGTCCGTTGTGAACTCGGATCTGTTGCTGAGAGTTTAGGGTTTAAGGGTCTTGGCGGTTTCGTTCGACCATGTCGGGGTTGCAGCATGTTTCGTGCAAGGAAATGCGAAGATAAAGACAAAAACACTTGATCTTTACCCAAAACCCTAAAGCTTTTGACCATTTCTTAACCCTCATACAACTTTTACCCGGAAGTCGTAGTCAATTTCCCATTTGGAAGCCCAGCAGCCTCAACTTAAGTTGATGAGAGTCCATCTAGAACCCGCTTGAGCTCCGTAAGTCCAACATGTACCCCCGTTTTTCAGCTTTATCAGCTTCTGGACACGCCCTACACCCTAAACCCTAAAACCCTAACACCCTAAAGTCCTAAACCCTAAACCCTGAACCTTGAAACCCTAAACCTTGAAGAAGCTGTAGCAATCACCCTGCAAACCCAAGTACCCTTATCCCGAAGCCCTCAACAGAAGGATCCTAATCCCCAAGCCTAAACGCAACAAACCCTCAATCGCTCAGTAAAATCCATGTGTAAAGTTTTAACCATCGCAAAAAATGCCGAAAACTCCCATAGGCTGAACCCCCGACCCTACACCCCAAACACCCTGACAGATTTTCAACCCGAGCCTAAGCCCAAAGACCTGTATTGAAACTTACAAGCCACTGCAAAGACTTGGCATAGAACAATTGAAAAACCCTAAACCTCGACCTTACACACCCAACCCTACACCCAAAACCCTCAACCCAATACCCAAAACCCTCAACCCTGAACCTTAAACCCTAAACCCTTCTGCCCTAGACCCTAAACCCTAAACCCTAAACCCTTCTGGCCTAAACCCCCAACAACCAGGCCTTCAAGAAGAAGCAGGCGCAGTACGTCAAAAGCGGCGAGCTGAAGAGCCTCAACTCCTTTTGGCAAATTTGCTGTTCGGGGTTAGGGGTGTAGGGTTGGTTCGGGTTTAGGGTTTAGGGCTTAGGGCTTTTGGGCTTAGGGGTTTAGGGTTTAGGGTTTAGGGTTTCGGGTTTAGGGTTGGTTTCGGGTTTAGGGTTTAGGGTTGGTTTAGGGTTTAGGGTTTCGGGTTTAGGGCGGTTCGGGGTTTTGGGTTGGATAGGTTTGTGTGGAGTTAGAAGCTACAGCCCGAAGCCTAAAGCCTAAACCTACCCTCAACCCTAAAACCCTAAACCCTTAAAGGATCCCTTAAAGGAACCCTGAACCCTTAAAGGATCCCTGAAAAGGAGCCCTCAGCCCTACAACACCCTAGACCGTTCAGGGCCGACCCGGACCCTATAAAACCTTCTTCTTTAGGGTCTAAACCATTTATTTTATTCATTAATTCAATAAAAACATAACCAGTTTGATAATTTATTATTACTATACAATATATACGTTTACCACAATCCTGATGTCCGTAAACAGCTCCTTAAAGAGGTAGGTTATTTTTGGGGTCAGGGTTGAGGGTTGAGGTTTAGGGGGTCTGAGGGTTTAGGGTTTATAGGGTTTAGGGTTCAGGGGTGTGGGAGTTTAGGCTTCGACTTTCTCATCTGAAAAGCCCTCGCCCAATCCTTCAACCTTGCAGCTTGAGCCGACGATCGAAGCCTTCGCGAGTACCTTGGGTGGCTGCCGTTATGTGGGTAGTTGTCAAAATTATGGTCCCTTTTGGGGTCCTTATTATAATACGGCACCTATTATTTAGTGTACCCCAAAAGGGACCATAATTTTGACGACTACCCATATGTTGGGGTTTAGTCTTTCTGTAGGATTGAGGAACACCGCGTACACCAAAGCCCCTTCCTAGTTATTAAGGCCACTATATACGAGTTAGCAGCAACCCTTAAGGTTATAGAAACCTGTGCAGAGCCCTTTAACGGATCTCTTTAACGTATCTCCCCATAAACTAGTTCTTAAACGGATCTTTTTAACGTATCTCCCCATAAACTAGTTCTTAAACGGCGAGGAACTCTGACATCAAGATCACGGCCCAGCGGATATCTGCAAAACCCTATGCGCCAGATGTCAAAGTGCCCATTCTCTACTGTGCCATGGCCAAACTTCGGGGCCCAGAGAGCCCAATACCCCTTAATTAAGTTTAGGGTTTAGGGTTTAGGGTTTAGGGTTTAGGGTTTAGGGTTTAGGAATTAAGGAATATAACTACAATATAGGGGCCATAATATTATGATTTAAGGTATAGTCCTTAATTAAAGGGTACTGGGTTCTCTTGGGGCTTGATAGCCAACCCGAAACCAAGCGCTCAGAAAGGATTGAGGGTGTAGAACCTTTTTGAGGGTTCAACAGGGATTTGTAGCATAAAAAAGCCCTAAACCCTAAACCCTAAACCCTAAACCCTAAACCCTAAACCCTAAACACCTCAAGAGCGAAATATCAACCCGTAGCTCGTCCCAAGCCCTAAA